TTCCATTCTTCCATTCCTCCCACTCTCTCTAAAAATCAATAGAAAAAAATATCCTCGTGTTCCTCATGAAGATTAACAAAATAATAATAATAATATTAAAAATAAATAAAATAATAAAAATTATGCTCATGGTTTATATAGTGTTTTGAAATAAGAAACAGCAATGTATGCATTTGTACATAGTAGAAAGTAAGGACAAGGGTTTTCTATTAGGAATTACAACTTATGCCCTGGCTGTTGTGGCTCTGTTGGTTGGAGCATCAGGTACGGTACACTGAAAGGTGGCAGGTTTGATTCCCAGTCATGGCACATATGTAAGTGGGTTCAAACTCCTGTCAGGGTGCATATGGGAGGCACCAATCAATGTTTCTCTCTCACAGTGATGTCTCTCTCTCTCTCTCCCTCTCTCCCTTCCTCTTTTTATATTTTATTTTTTTAATTTAATCCTTACCTGAGGCCATGCTTATTAATTTTAGAGAGAGGGGAAAGGAGAAGGAGAGGGAGGGAGACATCAATGTGAGAGAGAAACATCAGTTGGTTTTCATATGCACTCTGACTAGGGATGGAACCAGAAGCCTAGGTATGTGCCCTGACCGGGAATTGAACCCGCCACCTTTCAGTATACAGGAATGGACACTCCAACTAACTGAGCCATACTGGCCAGGCTCTTATCTCTCTAAAATCAATTTAAAAAATCCTCTAGTGAGGATTAAAAAATAATGATGATAAATAAATTAAAAAAGAAAAGAATTTTAACTTCTTATGGTAGGTTTACTTTATTTTTAATCTTTACCTGAGGATATGTTTATTGATTTTGAAAGAATGGAGAACCGGGGGAGGTAGAGAAACATCAATTGCTTGTCTCCTGCCAGGGATCGAACCCGTAACCTAGGTATGTGCCCTGACTGGGAATTGAACCCTTAACCTTTTTGTTGTACGGGACGACACTCCAACCAACCAAGCCACCCATCTGGGGTCCTATGGTAAGTTTATTTAGAAAGAATCAGGATACAAATATTATAGTTTGGGAAAGGTCAGTGGGTTTTCTGTATCCATAAGTGCATAGAAGTAGTCAGGACAATTAACTATATTTTTCTGATGTGTAAAGCGATGACAGATGTAATAATTTTTTGTACTCAAGCTTTAGAATTTAGGTGTTAGGGAAGAATCTAAGAAAGGGGTTCCAGAAAAATGGGCCAAATCCGTGATTTTGTTAATGTTTCCCTCTGTCCACTTTTATTCCAAAGCCAAGGAGACTGAAGAGCCTTCCAAGAGAGAGAAGCCACTCATAGAAACATTAGCTGAGTTTTATGTCAACTCCACCTTNTTTCTGACAGCTCTGGGCTGCCTGGTTGTATTTCAGATGAAAAGTCCTAATTTTTGAATGGCTCATGCAGTCTTCTTTATTTTAGAGATATATAGATATTATTATAGATGGTGCTCCATGACCCCAAATATAGTTTTAAATATTTTCTAGCTATCTTTGAAAATTTGTTTCTGTTCAGACTCTATCATTTAACATACATGTGTCTGAGGAGTCTAGAGAAGATGAATCTAAGAGAAGACTACAGGCCAAATTGAGTTTAGATAATCAGGCACAAGAAGTGAGGGAAGGTAAAGCATTCAGGTGTGTTATGTTGGTCACCTTTTCTTGAGAAAGCTGCTCTGGTGATTTGTTCTCTATGCTGGGATTATAGCAGCATAAGAGATGATAATCTGGACCTGAATTTACTAGGTGGAGAAGCAACCTGTTGCTAAAGTGGGTGCTGGCATTCTGGCAGTCCGTAGGTGAACCCAGAGAATAGGACACACCCCGGGCTGGCTTTGCTGGTTACCTTGCTTTGAGGAGCATTAGTTCTACCTAGAGCTTTTTTCTTTTTTTTCTTTTCCAACTTCTGATTTTCTTGTACCGATATCTATGTTTTTTATTACATACTGGTAAGCACAGAACATACTGGTATTTGTTTCAGGTCTCATGAATTATGTTGGGCAAGGCTTTCTGAGAGTTCAAGGTTGGTTTGGAGTATGATTTTTGCCAGGAGATAGAATTGTTGGCATATTGTATGACTAAATACATAAAAAGAAAGAGAAAACTAATGAGGAGAGAAGAGAGAAAGGAGAGAGGGGGAAGCCATTAGATTCTGTCTCTCCCAGCTTCACCTCCTGCATTCCCCGAAAGTGAGTCTTTATTTCCTAAGACCATCGTGTTTGTGTACCTGTGTTGTCTTCTGTAGGTCACCACTGTGAGCCCTATAACAACCCCGCAGACTTCTTCCTGGATGTCATTAATGGAGACTCCTCTGCTGTGGTATTAAACAGAGAGGAGGAAGGTGATGAAGGTATGTGCATCTGTCCAGAGTCACAGATTATCCCCTAATTGAATTGCCTGAAGTTCAGCAGTGTGGCAGCTGATTAAAATGTAGCTTTGTGAATTTATATAACTAATACCAGTTGTATCTGTTGAGGCCCCGCTTCCTGGTAGACCACCATCTCCTTGTTGGTCCCACACATGGTGGAAGTGGGGAGGGGGCTCCTGGGGCGTCTTTTATAAGGGCATTAACCTCACTTACAAGGGCTCCACCTTCACAATCTAATCACTCCCCGAAGTCCCTACCTTCATATACCGTCACATTGGGGATTGGGTTTCAGCATATGAATTTTGAGGGGACATAGCATTCAATCTATAGCACCAGTCAGCACAGATTTTGTTCTCCATAAGTGCTTTATTTTTATTTAATTTATAAATGATCATTTATACAATAGTGACAGTTCTAAAAGGAATTTCCCTTAAAAAATATGCTCATGGTGCCTTTGCCGGTGTATTCAGTGGTTAGAGCATTGGCCTGAGCACCAGAGAGTCTCAGATTCAATTTCCAGTCAAGGGAATGTACCTGGGTTGCAGGTCAATTCTCAGCCCCAGTCGGGGTGCATGCAGGAGGCAACCAGTCAATGAGTCTTTCTCACATTGANACACAATTCCAGCAATGATCAGAGCCCTGGCAATCTCATAGAACAAGACAACCTTGTATCTCTGAGCATCTGATTGGCGGGGGTGTTACAGCTCTTGCTCAGATTTATGGAATATTAGCTTAGGGTAGGAGTAGGCAAACCTGTTTTATAAAGGGCCAGATAGGGCATATTTTAGGCTTTGCACGCCGTGTGGTCTTTGCGTCATGTAGTCAACTGCCATTTTAGGGAGAAAGCAATCATATTAATATGTAAAAAGTAAATGTGCACGGCTGTGCTCCAGTTAAACTATTCATGGACACTGAAATCAGAATTTCATATAAGTTTCAAATAATCTGTTAGTATTTGAATATCATATAAATTTCTCTCCTTTTTTCAACCGTTAAAACAAAAGGTAAAAATCATTATCTTATGGACTGAAAAACAGGTGAAGTGTCCCGTTTGGCCTGAGGGCCATAGCTTATTGACCACTGGTTTTGGGTCTTTAAACTTGCCTGTATGTCATTTGCTTCTCCAAATGTTTGAACGTGTATCTATAAAAACGTTTTATGGCTTTCTGCTGATAAATCTTGTATCTGTAGTCTTACAGCTGTACTTAGGTTTGAACTAGTCATTTATATGAGTCACAATTTGCCTCTGATAATGCATTTTACCAGAGGTTTTATTTGGAAGATCTTAGATGGAATAGATTATCTGTATAAGAAGATTTAATGTTCACTGAAAGTGCTTTGTGTGTTCTGATCAAATCAATTTGGAAAACATTATTATTATATCTCTTGGAGATTCATTGTTTCTATTAGCATGGTAAACATTTGAGTATGGATTAATTTTTGTAGTGATGGCCATAAACATCCCTCAGAACTCACCTCGAGAAATGTTCGTAAGCACATTTGAACAAAGATGCAATCACATATTTTGGGAATTTTTTGCTTTTTTTCTTTTTCTGTTCAGACCGGAAGCCAGATACACAGATACATGGGTAGGGTCTTCTTGTCCACTCCATTGTACAGTGATTGTCTGTTGTTGTTTTTTTAATACAAGAAAGAGTAACATAGGTACACCTTGTAAAAGCATAAAAATATTGCAGGATTAATCATTTTACCAATATGTTTGAAAATTGACATTGAAAGTACTTCTGGAACTTTGAAATATTTAGGAAACATCCTAGTGTTAATACCATTACTCTGTTAGTATAAAATACCAAATTTGAATGCAAAAGAAACAAAACATGGGGAGTGTCCAGTTTAAAAAGTCTAAATATTCTTAAAGTTTACTATGTGAAACACAGATTTGTATACATGTTGATGGAGGCATCATCACTCACTCAGAAGCTTGATCTGTCAATATGAAGTACATATTTTCTGAGGGTAATTAAAATATGCAAGGGTAATAGATGTTTTTGTGAGATTTCTTACTGTCTTATTAGCAAAGAAATTTTTAAGGCCATCTTAGATCATCTTTCCAAACAGTGGTTTTCACAAAGCAGCCTTCACAGATCATGGTCCTGCTTTCCAACTTGGTTTGCTCATGTGTAAAGAGCGCTTGATAAGTTACTTCAAATCTGATACCATTGCACAGTTGTAGTACTGAGATTTGTTTGTTTAACATTGAAGGTGCCAAGGTACATTGTGGGATATTTTATGTTTCTTCGGTTACTGTTGCTTATACTTTTATATTTAATACAATTTAAAAGTACAGTAAATAGAATTTTCTTAAACATTAAATAAATTATATCCTTAACTCTTTGTGTGTGTCTTTAAGACACATTTTATCAATATTAAAAACAAAGTGGTTACCCCTACTTCCTTATCATACAAAATTCAAGTGTTATAAGTTTTATTGTGCTTTTAAAATTGTATTTATTTTTAATGTTCAGAGTAAAGCTATCCTGCTTTCACTTGAACCTCTTGAAGTATTTTAAAATGATGCATGTTCACAAGTACAAAGGTTGAGAGTTCAGGACAGAGCTCTTAGCCACTTGAATTTTATTTTCCTCCCCCAACAACTTTGCTCAGTGCCAGCACTGTTCCCCTGCTCTCTGTGGCATCCCCAGGTTAGCAGCCGAAGCTGGACCCTGAACTGGCAGTGCCTGGGCAGCCCCTGGAGGAATCTAGGTTTTCCAATCTTCTACTTTGTTCTCCTTCAGTCTCCCCAACACACAGATAAATTATTTTTATTTCAATTTAGAAGGCAGTCTAATAGCATACACTATTTTATATTTTTACAATATAAATATTTTGGATAAGCCATTTAAATGATGTTTTTCAATGGAGAGATTTGATTATAGCTATCTATATTATTATAATGGTATGTTAAGTTTTTACCTTTAATTAAAACTCTTTTTTTCTAAATTTATCTTTTTTTGTTGAAAGTATTACAGGTGTCCCATTTTCCCCCCAAGTTGACACCCTCCACCTTGCTCCCACCCACACCCCAGGCCTTCACCTGGTTATTGTCTGTGTCCATGGGTTATGCATATATGCATATAACTTCTTTGATTAATCTCTTCCCACCCTCCACCCCCTTTCTCTCTTCCCTCTGAAATATGATCATCTGTTGCATGTTTCAAATCTCTGGATCTATTTAGTTTGTCAAACTCTATTGTTCATTAGCTTCTTCTTAGAGAAGACCCTTCAACATTTCATGTAGTACTGGTCTGGTGGTGATGAACTCCTTTAGCTTTTCCTTGTCAGAGAAGCTCTTTATCTGACCTTCAATTCTAAATGATAGCTTTGCTGGGTAGAGCAATCTTGGTTGTAGTTCCATGTTTTTCATCACTTTGAATATTTCTTGCCACTCCCTTCTAGCCTGCAAGGTTTCTGTTGAGAAATCAGCTGACAGTCATATGGGTGCTCCCTTGTAGGTAACTAACTGCTTTTCTCTCGCTGCTTTTAAGATTCTCTGTCTTTAACCTTTGGCATTTTAATTATGCTGTGTCTTGCTGTGGGCCTCTTTGGGTTCTTCTTGTTTGGGACTCTCTGTGCTTCTTGGACTTATAAGTCTATTTCTTTCCCCAGGTATGGGAAGTTTCCTGTAATTATTTTTTCAAATAGGTTTTCAAATTCTTGCTCTCTTTCTTCTTCTGGCACCCCAATAATATGAATGTTGAGCCTCTTGAAGTTGTCCCAGAGGCTCCTTATTCTATCTTCATATTTCTGGATTCTTTATTCTTTTTGCTCTTCTGGTTGGGTGTTTTTTGTTTCCTCATGTTCCAAATTGCTGACTTGACTCTCGTCGTCCTCTGCTCTACTGTTGATTCCCTGTAAATTATTCTTCATTTCAGTTCGTGTATCCTTCATTTGTGATTGGTACTTTATTATGTCATCAATGGTCTCATTTGTTTTAATAGTCTTACTAATCCCCTTAAGCATCCTTATAACCATAATTCTGAACTCTTTATCTGTTAGTTTTCTTGGTTCTATTTTATTTAGTTTATTTTCTGGAGATTTTTCTGTTCTCTCCTTTGTGACATGTTTCTTTGCCTCCACATTTTGGCTGCTTCCAGGTGTTTGTTTCTATTAGGTCGAGCTGCTGTATCTCCTGGAATTTGTAGAGTGGCTTTGTGTAGTAGGTGTCCTGTAGGGTCCAGTGGCTCAGTCTCCCCAGTCACCTGAGCTGGGCCTTCTAGGTGCTCCCCTGTGTGGGCTGTGTGCACTGTCCTGTTGTAGTTGAGCCTTGGTTGCTGTTGGCATCCCTGGGAGGAATTGACCCCCAGGCCAATCGGCTGTGAGGACCAGCTGCAGCTACAGCCAAAGAGCTGCTGTGCTGGAGACACCCCTATGGAGCAGGATTTACTTCAGTGGGGCTTTGGTGTTCGCCAAGTGCGCCCCTTGAGTGTGTCACTCATGCCTGTGGAAGGGTTGTAATCCAGCGTGGTTGAGTCCGACCACCAGGTGCACTGTCTCTGGGGCCTCGGGGGAGGTGCAAAGTCAGCCTGTGCCAGTCAGTGCCTTGCCCAGGGCCACCCAGCCTGAGCTACACAGCAAACCGTAGATGGCTGCTGCTTGTGTTGGGCTTGGAGGTGCCCAGGAGAGGCCAAGCCATGAACCAATGCAGCTGCCGCTAGTGCCAGGCCTGGGGCCACTTATCAAGCCCTATGGGGCCCGCTGCTGCTTGTTTGAGAGATTTTAGGAAAGTCCTAAGCATGAGGCTCGAGAGGCCACTTGCACAGAAAAGCCCCTGGAAATGGCCTGGATGAGCTGCAGGTGGGGAGGGGCGGGGCCTCCGGGAATCACGGGGCGGGGCCAAAGGTGTGAGTCAGGTGCTGGCGATTCAAACATGGCGCCTGCCTGCCGGCTGTGTGCGGGGAGGACTCGCCAAAGGAGCCATGGCCTCCGCCAGCCCTTCTGCCTGGGAGGAAGCCGCCCCTCCACCTCTCGCCCGGATCTCAGGCAGGTTAGTTCCTCCCCGAGTGTCCCGGGTCCTTTCAGGCTGCTGCCCGGCGCTGGGCTCAGAGGGAGCGTCCGAGTGAGTCCGTGCCGGGCCCTTTAGAGGAGCTGCTGGGGCTCCCGCAGCCTCCGCGACCCTCAGCCACAATCCCCGCTGGGTTCACAGCCCGGAGTTGTGGGGACGTCTCTCCCCGGCCCTAGAGCCCTGGGCTGGGGGCCTGCTGTGGGGCTGGGGGCCTGCTGTGGGCCTGGGACCCCTCCCTCCTCTGGGAAACCTCCGCCGCCGAGATTCCCTCCTGGGTTTAAACTGTGGCACTGGGTGTGGCCGCATCTCTGTGATTCAGCCCCAACCCGCCCACGTCTCCGCCCCTCCTACCGGTCTCGATGCTTTTTCAGTTGCCTGGCTGTGGGGCTTCTGTTCAGCCACATTCCAGGAGGTTCTGAGTTATGACTGTTCCATATTTTAGTTGTAATTTTGATGTGGTTGCGGGAGGCGGCAGGTGCAGCTGTTACCTACTTGTTCAAGAACCTGTCTTTTTCTTTTTGAAAAGATGATTGTATCAGTTATCCTGGGACTGGCTATCGGTGCCATTTTCTATGGCCTAAAAAATGACTCTACGGGAATCCAGAATAGGTAAGCACATTTGGACCTTGACTTTAAGAATGTACTGTTACTTTGTTCAAGGTTATGAACTTTTATTACAAATTTGAATTTCAGACAAGTACAGGACAAAGTGAGGAGTAGGATAAATCAGTGGATTGAAAGCTGCATGGAAATGTTATTTTCTTATATATATGGTGGTAAAATACACAGAACATAAAACGTACCCTCCTGTCCAGGTTTAGCTGTGCGCTTCAGTGGCATTAGTGACACTCACATTGTTGTGCAGTCGCCACCATCCAACTCCAGGACACTTATTCCCAAAGTGAGTCTCTGCCCATCGAACAATTGCTCCCTGTCCCCCTTTCCCCAGCCCCTGGAAACCACCGTGATGCTTCCTGGCTCTGAGTTTGACTTCTGTAGGCCCCTCATACACGTGGACCACACAGCATTTGTCCTTGGGTGACTGGCTTGTTTTCCTTAGCATAATGTCTTCAAGGCTCATCCATGTGTAGCATGTGTCATAATGTCTTCCTCTTACAGGCTGAATAATATTCCTTTGTAACATTTTGTGTGTTTGTTTTACTCACCACATTTTGTTCACTCCTTTGTCTGTCCATGGAGACATGGGCTGTTTCTGCCGTTTGGCTGTTGTGACTGATGCTGCTGTGAGCATGGGTGTACAGGTAACTATTTGAGTCTCTGCTTGAAATTCTTTTGGATATATACCCAGAAGCGGAGTTTCTGGATCATTCAGTAATTCTATCAGTTTTTTTGAGGAACTCCCATCCTGTTTTCCTATAGCAGCTGCACCATTTTGCATTTCTACCAGCTGTGCACAAGGATTCAGTTTCTCCCCAACCTGGGCACCACTTACTGTTTTTCATAATAATAGTGAATTGCTATCTCTTTGTGGTTTTGAATTGTATTTCCCTAGTGATTAGTGATGCTGAGCATCCTTTCATGTGGTTATTGGCCTTTTAAATGTCTTCTTTGGAGAAATGTCTATTCAAGTTCTTTGCCCATTTTTTAATTGGATATTTTTATTGCTGAGCTGTAAGAGTTCTTTATGTATTTTGAATATTAACCCCCTTATCAGATATAAATTAATAGATATTTTCTGCCATTCTGCGGGTTGTCTTCTCTGTTGAAAGTGTTCTTTGATAAACATAGTCCAGTTTATCTATTTTTTTCTTTGCTGCCTGTGAGTTAATTTCCTTTTTATGTTTTGATTTGCATTGAGGAGGTAGATAGGATTCAGATTTTTCAAACTGTTACATGGCCTACTAGCTTGAAAAGAATTAGAATACATTAAAATTCTTTAACAAGAAGTATTTAGTATTATAAAATAAATCCTTATAATTTAAAAGGAATTTTAATATCTAGTAGTTTTAAATCCTTATGAACATTATTGTTCTGTTAAATGTAAGACAATAAATTGAGCTGAATGTTGCCATATCCCATGTTTCTGGAAGTAGCTAATACTTTGATATTAGGCTTTTTTTTTTTTTTTTTTTTTTATCTTTCAAGGTGTGTATCTGCTTGTGTACTGGTCCTGGCTATTTTTCATTTATTCATTATTGTATAAATATTTACTTTTTAAAAAAAATATTTTCACTTGCTTCTCTCATTTTTAAAAATTTACTTTGAACACAGCCTGTTGCTGTGTTAAAATAATAATAATTTTTTATTATTATTTGTGTTAAAAACAGTTCCTTAGTGTCTATGGGCCCTTTGTTTTTTGGGTTGTATACTCAGGTTTACATTTTTTAATATGCTTTCTTTATTTTGTAATTTAAATAATACGCAACTTCATCTCTTTTGGTTTCTACTCACATCCTCAATGTCAATTAAATTGTTTGGGTGTGCAGGGAAGCCCAACACTGCTACGGGGATGCTGGCACACTGACAAAAAATTTATACTTCTATCAAAGTGCAGATGAAATGAGTACTTTCCTTTTGAAACCTTAATTATTTTACTGAGAGAGGCATTAATAGTCTTCCTTTTTTATATGTGCACAAATTAATTTTTCCTTTATAAGCATGATTTGCTTTCATTTTTTAAAAAACTTTCCTCTATTTCACATGGAGTAGTTAAGGGGTTCTGGTTGACTATTTTTTCTTCTTTTTTTTTTTTTTAGTATGTTTTATTGATATTTTATAGAGAGTGGAGGGAGAGGGATAGAGAGATAGAAACATCGATGAGAGAGAAACATCATCAATCAGCTGCCTCCTGCATGCCCCCACTGGGATCAATCCTGCTACCCAGAAATGTGCCCTGACTGGAAATCGAACTGTGACCACTTGGTTCCTGGGTCGACGCTCAACCACTGAGCCACACCCGGCCGAGCAATTGGCTTTCATTTTGAGTACATTGGAAACCATGTTGGCAGTGGGATGTCCAGGAAAATATGAATGTTCTTCTGATGACTGTGTGGTGAATGTATATAATTAGGTATCAATAGAGGTTTCCCTTCACTCTTTCATTTTGTCTCCTCATGTCTTAATTTCTTCTTTACTCAACTTTGACAAAGTGCTTAATAGAACTTTTAAACTTTTGCAGGTTTTATTTGGGTGTTTCTCCATTCATATATTGGGAATGGTACTTGTGTTTCTGTTAGTTGAAATTAAAGTTGGTAGCATTTTTATGGCCTGTGTAATCATCACCTTGGCTACCGTAACAAAGAAGCACAGACTGGGTGGGTTATACAACGGAAATTTATTTGTTATAATTCTGGAGATTTGGGTGCCAACATTTTTGGTTTTGATGAAGGCTCTCTTCTGGCTTCCTGCCTTCCTGCTGTGTCCTTGAATAGCACAGAGAGAGCTTTGATGTCTTTCATTTTTCTTCTAAGGGCACTAATACCCTCCTGAGGCTCCCCACCCCCATGACCTCATTAGAACTTCATTACCTTCCAACAGTGCCACCTCTAAATATCACTTGAGGGGTAGGATTACATCATCGGGAGGGCACAATTCAATCCATGGCAACACAGGACTGTGAATTTCAAACTGTGCTCTATGGAGTCCCTGGGGCACCACTGTGGAGACACTGGGATGGGGAGAGACCTGTGCGGACTCATATTTTGCTTCCCTCGCTGTTTTAACCTGAACAGTTGTTTAATGTCCTAAGATATTATTTGAAGAAAGAGTTTAGTGGGTAGGAATTGATCTAAGAGTGTTTAATTGACTGCAGTACTTTTGTTTCCCTTCTCTCTTTCGCAGAGCTGGGGTACTCTTCTTCCTGACAACCAACCAGTGTTTCAGTAGTGTGACATCCATGGAGCTCTTTGTGGTCGAGAAGAAGCTGTTTATGTGAGTATGTTTCTGTTCTGAGAAGGGGGCTGTTTAATGTCAGGGCTATTGGTCATACTGGTCACATGCAGAATTGGGCCACAGATTGGTTTCTGGGGATCACCAGTGTTCATTGAGAAAAAGCAGCCAGGGCCTGGGAAGGAAGTCATGAGCATGTGGGGCCTGAGACCAAGGGTAAAGGGAGTTTCAAGATTAGGGCATACACACTTACCTGGTAGGGGAGATACCATGATCAGGAAGGTGGTTTTCCCAGGGCAAGGCTTATCCATTGCACTCTGGATGTGCTGATCCCTGCGATTTCCCCAAATGTGGGAAACTCGACTGCATAATATGTGGTAGTGGGGGATTGTGTTTGCACTCTCCTCTGCTAAAAAAAGTGAAGAGTAGGGCAAAGAGAGGATAATGGTGATGGAAGAAATAAAATCATATATATTTTTTTAAATAAAAAAACATGAATAAAAATCATGTTAAAATCCACATAAGCAAAAATATGTATTATAAAAAAACATTAAAAAAAATTGGGGCATTGCCAGTAAAGGCAAATGGAACAGAAAATGCAAGAAATAGAGGCTGAAAAGGATCTTTTGTTTTAGCAAATAAGAAGTCATGATGTCCTTCATTAGAAAAGTTTGAGGGGCTACATTAAGAGAAAGTAGTTAAATTGTAAATTGAAGGTAGGAAGGGAAAGTTGACAAAGAATATAGACCAAGCCTAGCCCTCAATGGAAGGGAGAATGGAAAGAGCCAGAAGGTAGCTGGTTTGTTTCTTGTGTTTTTCTTTTCTTTTTTAAGTCTTTTTATTGATTTTTAGAGAGAAAGGAGGGAGAGTAAGAGAGAACATCAATGTGAGAGTGAAACATCAGTCAGCTGCTTATTTCATAGTCCCTAGCTGGAAAGGATCCCGCAACCCTGGGCATGTGTCCTGACTGAGCATTGAACCAGCAGCCTTTTGGTGCATGGGGACAACACTCAGGCAACTGAGCCACACCGGCCAGAGCTGTTTCTTGTGTTTTTTCAAAGTTGGAAGAGATCTGCCCATATTTACGTGCTGGGGGAAAGGAACCATCAGAGAGGGAAAGAATGAAGGTGTTGGTGGAAGAGTCTGGAATCGCAGGAGGGGGGTGTCGGGAAGAGGAGGGACCGAGGTCTTCACTGGGGAGAGAACAGGATTTGGTGGCTGACAGGGGTGTATGGATGGGAGGCACAGTCACTGAAGGCAGAAGTGCCATGTTGTTTTTCATGCCGAGAATGGAAGGAGTGAGAAGGCTCAGTTATCTGGAGCTGCAGTGGGGGGCGTGCAGAATAGTGGCACCACCTTCTTCCTAATCAGCAGTGGGGAGAAAGCAAAGCCTGTGTGACCACTGAGATCGGCCACCTGGAGTGGGGGGTTCTGAGGCAGAGTGGGCGGCACCAGGAGAGAATCTGTAATGAGACGAGGGGTCATCGCACAGAGCTCTTGGGAATGACGTCTCGGGGAAGCGTGCACCTGAGATGGTGCCTGATGATGGGTGAAGGTGGCGGGGCAACCTGGAGGATGTGAGGAGCTGTAGTTGTTTAGACCCCTGCTGGCAGCAGAATGGCTTAATCACCTGCTCTGTGCCTTCTTAAACTAATGTGGGATGCATGGCATGAATTTTTGTTTTTTAGGCATGAATATATCAGTGGATACTACAGAGTGTCATCTTATTTCTTTGGGAAACTGCTATCTGATTTACTACCCATGAGGATGTTACCAAGTATCATACTTAATTGTATAACATACTTCTTGTTGGGTAAGCAATATGACAAAAACTATGGGCCTGTAGTCTTGGATGTGAGGGCAAGCTAATTTTTTTGTGTGGCAAGCATGCTTTTGCTTTCCAAAACCCTAGACCAAGCCACGTGATAAGGAAACATCTATCTATTGTGCACACTCTGAAATAACTGCCCTCTGAGGACATTTTTGTTGACTTTTCCCAAAGTTAGTTTGGGAAAACTATTTATATACCTATTTATAAGACTATATTTTACTGAGTTATGGTATGTGTCATATATAGACATGGAAAGAATTAATAAAATATTTGAGATGGTGCTAGAGGAGCTGGAGTAGGTTATTTATTACCTATCTATTTTCATATATAATGAAAGAATGAGACTTTGGGACTTATTAGTTTAATAAAAATACTTTTTTAATATAAGTAGACAGATTCATTGGTGCATCATGTTTACACTTCTCCCCAGACTCTGCCTTGGAATTTCCATATATTTCACTGGTATATATATATATGTGTGTGTGTGTGTGTGTATATATATATATATACACACACACACACACACACTCTGTCTCTCACACACACACAAACACCAGAGATGTATATATTTTTGACAAAACACTATAGGAGAAGATCCACTGATTGAGTTTAAGCCTCCATTTTACAAATAAGGGGTGTATCATAAAGAATTAGCCATAGAACCTGGGTCCTCAGCTCCTGACTGGTGTTCTTATGGCTGCTGCAAAACCTCCAGAGTGTATGACCCATAATAAGTGCCCGTTATAGTTTACACGGTAGTTCTGTGAACTTCATTTGACCCCATCCTCAAGCCCAACTGCTATGGTACGTTGTCTCAGAGCCTTGGTTCTGGAAACACTTTCTCAGACAGTTAAACTCCTGGGAGGTCATGTCACCCTGATCTCCCAGTGTCTTCACTGACACAGTTACAGCGAACAGTGAGGGATGTGGTGATGTCTGGGGGAAGCATGTGCTCTCGACACGTTTCCTTCTTAGAGAGAAGGCAGTAGAATTCTGGCCAGTGTGTTGCCTCCAGCCCTCCATCTCAGGCACTCAGAAATTGGTAGTAATTACACAGCAGGGAGCATGGGGGTTACGTGAAAAAGTGCTTATGCAGTTGTACAAAAAAGAAAGCTGTGCCTTGCCGGCATGGCTGAGCATTGAGCATCGACCTATGATCCAGGAGATCTTGGTTCAATTCCCAGTTGAAGCACATGCCCAGGTTTTGGGCTAGATCCCCAACAGTGGGCAAGCAGTAGGCAGCTGATGACTCTGATCATTGGTGTTTCTGTCTCTCTCTCCCTTCCTCTCTCTGAAATCAATAAAGATATATTTTAAAAAAAAATCTGTATGATATTTTTATACAGTTATATGGGGGGGGCAGTGAAATTGGTGACTCGGGGTGGTTCAATAGAAGATGAATTTTTTAAATCTCATATTCATTTCTCAAAATATTTGCACAATAAACAATCCCCAGTACACAGTGACCTGGCAGTTGGATTAACCCCCATTTTCTTCCTAAGGATTGAAACCGGTGGTGGAGGCCTTCTTCATCATGATGTTCACCCTTATAATGGTGGCTTATACGGCCGGTTCCATGACAATGGCCTTAGCAGCAGGTCAGAGTGTGGTATCCTTAGCAACACTTATCACGAACCTGCTTTTTGTGTTTATGATGGTGAGTAGGAACTGTGCTTCTCTGAGAAGTAATTATTTCCTCTGTTCCTTCTGCAAATTTACCTGTCTTAGACAACTTGTTCTGGGGATTTTGTCAATGAGAATCTTTGCTTTAAGGAAGCCATATCTTAAAATATAACATTACTGATCATACCAGCTTTTTCTCGACCTTACCTAGCCTTTTTTTGTAATGTTCTAATGTAATTGCTATAACTTTAGTTAGCACGTTATACAAATGAGATTTTAAAAGATGCTTCTTGGTGACATACAGTGAAACCTCGATGACCGGGAACTTTAAAACAGAAATTTTATTTTAAAATATTTTTTAAAATATGCTTTTATTGATTTTTAGATAGAGAGGAAGGAAGAGGGATATAGAGATAGAAACATCAATGAAAGAGCAACATCATCAATCAGCTGTCTCCTGGACACCCCCTATTGGGGATCAAACCCGAAACTTTGGCATGTACATTCACTGGAAATTGAACAGTGACCTTTTGGTTCTTAGGTTGATGCTTAACCACTGAGCCACACCAGCTAGGCAAAAACTGAAAAATTTGACTGGAAGATTCCCTCATAAAAATGCCAGGTTCACCCTGTGTTGAGCTCAGTGGTTAGAGCATCACTCATGCACCAAAAGGTTATGGGTTTCCTCCCCGGGAGGCAACCGGTTGATGTGTCACTCTCACATCAATGTTTCTCTCTCTCCCATCCACTCTCTCTGAAAAGCAATGGAAAAAATATCCTCGGGTGTGGATTAACAACAACAACAAAAAAAGTCAGAGTCATTGTCTGACTTCTGCCCTGGCGTTAGAGAACTGCTGGCTTATTTCCCCAGCAGGTGGGATGTTTCTTTTTTGGATTAAATACTTTATCTGTTGTTGTTTTGCCTTTTTGTTTTTTATAATCCTCACCAGAGGATATTTTTTCCATTGATTTTTTAGACAGAGTGGAAGAGATGGAGAGAGAGAAAGAGAGAGACAGAAACATCTGTTTGAGAGACACACATCAGTTGGTTGTCTCCTGCACGCAACTGGGGCCAGGGAAGGAATGTGCAATCCCCGTACATGCCCTTGACCAGGAATTGAAAAATCCACCCTTTGGTGCACGGGCCAACTCTCTAACCACTGAACAACACCAGCAAGGGCTGGATCAGATACTTTCCAAGGGAACATCTAAGTCCCATGAGAAACAGAACAGTGGGTGGCATGGGTAGTCTATCTTGATTCCTCCTACATTTTGAAAAGGAGTGTTTTAAAAATAGTGAAATATTCCAAAGTCCACACAGTCCTAGGTCCCCTCCTTTCTGAGTTCTTGACATTTGCTTATATCAATATATTTCTGATTACCTGTTTTAAAAATGGTTACTTAATCCTATCCTTATTTTGCATGCATATAGATGAATGAACAGGTAAAAGGAACCAGTTAGCACATTTGCCCATAACATGTCAAGTAAACAGGAATCCTAGCCTGTTTACTTACTACACATGTCCTTTCTGCTAGAGTAGGAGTCGATGTCTTTAAAAGTTTATAAATAGCATACTCTTGCCATTGAAAACTACCAATCTAAACATCATTGGGAATGTGGAAAACCTTGCACATATTTCCAGTGTCATCCAATAAATAAAATGTCCTTCAATATATAAAAATGTTTTGTTTGATATATTAGATACTATGATTTATTATTATTTAATATTTTATATATAGAACTTTTAAAACCACATGTAACATTGTCACCACAATAAATTTAATGAAAAACACACATATGTAAAACCATATTTTACTGAGAGATGTACCATATTATGCACTTTGTTAGATCAAGTTGAAAAATATGTGTTCCCACCAGCATCGTTGTCCTTGTTAAGCCCATCCCAGCATGGGAAGTGCCAATTAGGAGAAGTTTTGTATGAACCTCTCCTTATGTAGCCATCTCTTGCTGGAGTGGTCCTTCCTGGGGTCTCCATGGCAGTACCGCTTTTTGGTAGCCTGAAATGAAGGCATTGATTATATTTTATGATGCACTTCACATTATGTTGTACTGGTTCTAGACTTTGAGTTACTTTAAGTTTCCATTCTAATCCCCAAATTATTCCTAAGGTCATTTGGAGATAGAATGCAAACCCTTGAAGATCAAAAGCTTCCTGTGTTAAGGAAGTATAGAGGCACATGAGGTGCTCAGGATATGTGCTGGTGTGTCTGTTGGTGGGAACATATAGTGGTTGCGTCTTTAGAACAGTCAGGACTATGGACCTTCCATTGTTTGCAGTTACAGAGAAAGTAAAAGCCTCGACAATTATGAATCTTCTAATTAAATGAAATGTAAATACACTGCCATTCCTTTAAAACCACAAATAGCCTCAGCTCAGAGGGGAATACACATGCAAAGAGGATATGGTGTTTAGAGAAGTGAGAGGAATTTCAAGAACACATTGGCCTCAGCAGAAATGTTTGCAAGGTTGTAGGGGAGTTAAGGAGGGTAAGCTTTAGAATTCTTCATGAAACCAGGCCACCAGTTCTGATTGTTGGGATTTGCTCTTTGTAGATTTTTTCAGGGCTGTTGGTCAACCTCAGAACCATAGTGCCTTGGCTCTCGTGGCTTCAGTACTTGAGCATTCCTCGGTATGGCTATGCGGTAAGTTGTCCTCTTCTGTCCATGGGACTAGTCTATTTTTCCTAAGCTAGGAATATCAGATTAAAGCCTGATCATCTTGTGCCACCAGACATGAGCTGTGGAGGTCTCTCAGGAATTTTCTTTTAGGATCAGTGAAAGAGTTTCCTTTTAAGCCTTGGGTCCCCTTGATGATCACTTGGCTTTCCACAGTCACCCTGGGGTTTGAGGGAGGTGAAGGGTTGAGAGATAGCTCATAGTGAAGCAGGAAGATTGACCAACTGATGTACAAAATGTAGTTGGTTTTCAGTTTAATAAGGAAATACATGAGAGGATGGGAGCCTAGAGTACATGTTTTATATTGAAAGGGAAATCAGAAGGAAAATCAAGACCATATAATATTCACAGGCGCTATTGGCTTTAGAATCTAATCAACTATAAAGAAAACGGTGTCTTAATATAGTATATTTGAATTTCCTATTCCCAAGAATTATAACTGATTTTGATTTTAAAAAAACCAAGAACCATATAAAATATGTTACCATAAATTAACAATAGCCATTGAGAACCACAGTATCCTTTTAATGATAGTGTTTTGGGGTTATAATACTGGGGCAGAGAAGGATGAGAGTGCTATTGTGGTAATATAGACAGAGCTCTCTTGGCAAAATATTTTCTTTGTTAGAACCTCAAATCCTATCCCTAGTCCTCCTGATTGCCAGGAAAAGTCATTTTAGTTTCTCNAGGAAAAATCATTTTAGTTGCTCTGGTGTTGCAGAGACTATGAATCGTGAGGCTTGTTTTTTTTTCCAGAGATAACAATAAAGATTAAGCCAACAGGATGATCTCATGATAACTCTTTGGAAACTTTGAAACTAAAACTATTTACCTTGCCCACTCCACCTTGCATTATAGGCTTTGCAGTATAATGAATTTTTGGGACAAAACTTTTGCCCGGGACTCAATGTCACAGCAAACAATACCTGCAGCTTTGCAATGTAAGTTTATATTCAGTGTCATCAATGGGCTTGCTTACTGTGTGGTGTGATGGAGAAAGGCCATTGGGCTGAGCTGTTGTGAGTCCTTTCAGGGACACTGGCTTCTCTGAGACTAAGTTTTCTTATCTGTAAAGTGCATTGTTGTCCATTAATGCGTATGAAAGTACAGTACAACTCCTAGATATCCTACTCTAGTCAAAATTGTATTTAAGTTGGGGAAATGTTTCTTATGTGATATTTGTTTTAACAAATCCTTTTGCTGTTTTGATTGTGTGAGATTTGATTTTCAGAACACTTGTTTTTTAAATGAGCTGCTTCGTGTGTTATCAAAGCCTTACAGTCTCTGCACTGGCTGGATCATGTGACCTGTGTGGTCCATAAACTTATGGCCAAGAGTATGAGCTGAAAGGGCAAGAGATTTGGAAAAGGAGTGAACATTTTTCTTCCACGGCCCTGGCACTTGTCTCTTCCTCCTACATTTAGGAGACATCATGAAATCAAAGTCTGCACAGTTTTTGTTTTTCTTTTTTAAACTAACCTGGAATACTGCCTGTATCCTTTAGAGAAAGGAACACATCTTTCAGTAAGCTGAGAAAGGAATCTCATTTTTTGCTTAATGTCAATAAAACAGAAATGCAGATTTTAATAAAAGTAGAGGATTTGTTTTAAAAATTAAATGACGCTCTCCTATTTGATGATTGTTAATGGTTTGATTTTGATACATTAATGGAAGAAAAGAGAACACTGGTATCCTAAATCTCATGACCATTTATTTACAACAGAAATAATACTGCATAACAACACAAATTGCTATTTTGAAGTATAGTTGGTTCTGAACAACACAGGTTAGAACTGCATGGGTCCACTTATACTGGGACTTTATTTTTAAATAAATACTGTGAATGTATTTTCTCTTATGATTTTCTTATTAACATTTTCTTTTCTCTACCTTATGTTAATGTAAGAATATAGTGTAAAATACATATAACATACAAAATATGTGTTAATCGACTAAGTAATCGACTTACCTCAACAGTAGGCTGTTGGTAGTTAAATTTTGGGCGAATCAGAAGTTACATGTGGGTTATTGACTGTGTAGGGGTCAGTGCATTAACCCCCACGTTGTTCAAGGGTCAACTGTGTTGCCAGGAAAACCTCTAAGAAGGGAAGGTTTCTTTATCTTGACCACTCCCTCACTTTTGATCCGGATATGACATTGTTTTGGAACTGCTAAATTCCAAGAGTCATACAACAGTAGTACCAGACAATAATTGTGGCTGTGCCCAATATTTTTAGTACCAGGTACTGATCTAACCCGGGGCAGGGCTCCTCCATCCTGCTCCACTCCAGCTGCCACGGAGGCCTCACCTGGTGACTGGGCCTCTGGTGAGGTCTTGTGGCCGAGCGTCTGCCCTGCTCATTCTGGTCTTGGCGCCAGAGCTGATNTCTGCCCTGCTCATTCCGGTCTTGGCGCCAGAGCTGATGGACTGCGACTGTGAGGAAGCCCTTCCTCACCCCTTTTTCTGGTTTTGGGATTCTCAGCCTGCTTTCTTTTCATGGCTGATTTGTGGGTAATGAGTTCTATGAAGAGCTTGGATCAGTTCTGTAAGGGCCTAGATGTGACCTGTGAAAGCGGAGGTTTTCCCCTTCAGGAGTAAGTGAAAATTTGCTTGATAACATTCCTGCCCTTTGAAGTGAGCCAAATGAATCTGGAGAGGAGAGGGGAGGATAGTAACTTGGTTCAAAGTGTGAGTCTGGGAACTTGGCCAAATTCCTTAAGCTTTTGTCTCTTTGTCTTTTAAATGTGTACAGTGTCCACCCCATTGAGTTGTTTTAGGGACTAACTAAACTTATATGCAGGTTGCTTAGTGTGGTATCAAGCAGACTTGTAAGTCCTCATTGACTGGTACCTGGTATATGTGAAGGGATAGTTATCTCAGACTTGGTAATCTATAGACTTCTTTGAGGAAGAGCGAATGTATTGAGTAAAATTGGACAGATGCTAAGAATGTATTCGTGTTTTTTCTGTTGAATTTCAGATGTACTGGAGAAGAATTTTTGAGAGACCAGGGCATTGACCTCTCACCTTGGGGCCTGTGGAAGAATCACGTAGCCTTGGCATGCATGACTGTTATCTTCCTTACAATTGCCTACCTAAAATTGTTATTCCTTAAAAAATTTTCTTAAATTCTTCTCCAATTTATATGATTTATCTACATATTCGAAAGGGAGCACCTTAGCCCTGGCTGGATAGCTCAGTTGGTTAGTGTCACTCTGATACACCAAGATTGTCGGTTCAATTTCTAGTCAGGGCATATAACAAGAGTCAAGCAATGAATGTATGACTAAATGGAACAACAAATCAATGTCTCTCTCTTTCAAATCAATCAATGAAAAATTTAAAAAATAAAATAAGGGAACATCTTGATTAAGTAGTCAATAAAGTATTTTTTTGTCTTTTAATTTGCCATCATATTATTGTTTAGCCAGAATTATTTTCAATAGAAACCTTCATAGAAATCGCAATGAACTTAATTATGAAAGAACCCAAGTCATAAACTAGTGCTATTATGTACTGTTTGTTAGTTCATCTAGTGAGAAGGTACCCATACAGAGAAATCTAATTTAATTAATTGACCTAAAAATGAATTGAATTCTAGAAACACATTACTAGTCACTAATATCTTCCTTAGTAGTTTCCTTATCTTTAAAATGAGTGTGCCAGTTGCCTTCCAGCTTCAATATGAAATCAATCTATGATCTGCCCACATTTAATAAATAAATAACAAATGTGTTGATGCTGTGGTGGAAATATGACATATAAACTCTGTTGGAAAAACCCAGTGTCATTTACTGGGTAAAAAAACTATTATGATGGAAAAGCTTGGATAATTCTTCTAAGGTTAGTAGAACTTACTGAGATTTCTCTGTAGTGGAATTAGAATATCTCAGGGGTCTTGGCTGCGCCTTTGGACTGTAGGTGCAGAGAGCCAGGACCTGGTGACTTTCCCTTCCTGGGGCAGTTCAGTGGTTATGGGCAGGAGATCACCTGGGAGCTTTGCTCAAATACAGGTGTCTGGGCCCTGCGAGCCCTGACGCATCAGCATCTCCAGGGCACCTCCATAAGGAACTGTCATGCCAGGATGTGGTAGCTTCCAGGCGCCTCCCCAGTTCTGGATATTTTAGCCTTATGACATAATAACTGATATAAGTGGCCCTATGTAGGTTTTCTTATTCCCTCATATACATCTCACTTATTTACACATCATTTTTTCATTCTAACCTTTACCAGTAATAGGGAATTGTTTTTAACTTATTTTTTTATTAAAGGGTAATGTAGGGAAATGTATAGTTCAGTGAATTATCATGCAAAGAACACCCCATGCAACCACCAACCAGATCAAGAAGTAGACATTACAATGTGGGGATGCCTCCCTCATGCCCTTCTCTCAATAACTATTTCCCTAGTTCTTTCTGGGTTATTTTTGAAATGAAGCTCATGTAGTTCCTTCTGTTGCTATTATCAGAACATCACAGCCTGGGCCTGGTATTCATTTGATTAGATGTTGTCCTGATAGACACCAAGGTTGTTGGTTTGATCCCTGGTCAGGGCACGTACAAGAAGCAACCAATGAATGTATTAATAAGTGGAACAAAAAATTGATGTTGTTTCTCTCTCTCCCTCTCTAAAATCAGTAAATTAAAAAAAATTTTTCTAAAGAATTTAAACAGACTACTTAAAAACAAAAAAGAAAAACACCACTACAGCTCAGTTTTGTGTTCCTGCATGCATAGATACATTTTTAATGAAGTCCCCCTTCCCCTTTTAATAAACTTAATTTTGGAATGATTTTAGATTTACAGAAACATTGCAGAAGTAGCGTGGAAAGTTCCCATAAACACTTTGCCCAGCTTCTCTTGATGTTAGCATTTTATATACCATGGGACATGCTGAAACTAAGAATTTAATATTGGTGGGTTAGTATTAAGCTATGCATTTTATTCAGATTTCACGTCTTTTCTACTAATATTCTTTTTTTTTAATCCTCACCTGAGGATATTTTTTCATTGTTATTCAGAGAGTGAAAGGAAGAAAGAGAGAGAAAAACTACCATGTGAGAGAGAAACACAGATTGGTTGCTTCCCTCATGCCCCCTGGCTGGGGTGGGGGACCGAGCCTGCAGCCAAGGTGTGTGCTCTTGGCCAGAATCAAACCCGAGACCCTTCAGCCCCAGGGCCCGCGTTCTACCACTGAGTCAAACCCCCTATGGCTCTACTAATACTCTTTTGCTCCAAGATCCGGTTCAGGAGCCACATTGCATTTAATCATCCCTTTTAAAAGCAAATCCTTTTCAGTATTATAGGAATTAAGTGAGCTGAGGATCACCAGAGTGTCCGCCCCTGTGACTGGTCCTTTGGGAATGTCATTTAGCATCAGCAGGAGCCCTGCCATGTTGTTGCAACATCAGTCCAGGGTCATAGCTTTAAATTTTTATCTTTGAACGTTAAGGAACATTTTTCTTCTTTTAAATGACATTTGATTAATGCATCATTTTAAAAACACATTATTACTCTCTTTTACCTGATTATTGTATAACCATTAAGGTTAATCAGTTTTTTCTGTTCTTGGTACAACTCCTTTTTACATAACCCTGGCTTACCCACAGCTTTTAATACTGTTTTTCACACAATTAGAAATATATTACACAGAGAGCTGCGATATATATTTCATATACATATGTATATGATATGTGTATAGAGAAATAGATATCTATACTTTATACACAAAATATACTTAAAAGACAAAATAGCCAAAGATGTTACTAGTACCTACTTTTAAAATTAATAGGAATTTAAATATATCATACTTATCCTCCCTTTGTATTACAATTATCTTTTTATATAATTCTGTTTTTAACTATGTTTAGAAATACATACATAGAATTTACCATCCTAACCATTTTTAACATAAGGAAAAATTTGAAAAGTGTACATAATAGCATGTCTTATAAAGTAGAAAGGAAAATATTAGTTTACAGAGACCCCTGCTGTAAACATTTGTATCTCAAGCTTCATGTGGAACCACAGTTTAAAATGTTGATAAACCAGGTTCCTAAGAAATTTGCTAATAATTTAATTAAGATATATTGAAACCCTGTTTCTGCAATGCATCCAAAAAGCTTTGTTGTGCTCTGAGGAATTAATTCACACTAGCCATCCTAAAGAAAGACCATTAAACTAGAGTATCAGTTTGCTCATTTAAATTTTATATAGACATTTACTTGTGATATTAGACTCTCAAGTGTAAAACCCAGGTAAGAGGATTCCTTGATAAAGACAGGATTTAAGCCTTACTCAAGATGTCTGCTGCACCCATAGGAAAGTGTGTCAAGCTAATCTGAGTAGTTGCAACGGCTCGTCTTCACCAAGACGCTGCAGAAGACAGCTATCCCACCCCACCCTCAAAGGTTCGTGTCTGTTCTCAGCCAAATAAAGATTCCAAAGAAAGAAAACCTGGGACCCCAGCAACAAAGCGACCATCCTGGTCCACCTCCTGTGCTTTGTCACTCCTTTTCTTTCAAACTATAAGAGAAAGTTTATTTAGAAAGTCACAGAGGTAGGAAAAGTGAGCCGGCTGGGCGTGGGCTCNCTGGTCCACCTCCTGTGCTTTGTCACTCCTTTTCTTTCAAACTATAAGAGAAAGTTTATTTAGAAAGTCACAGAGGTAGGAAAAGTGAGCCGGCTGGGCGTGGGAGGAAACAAGTTACAGAGGCAAAGGAAGCGCCCTTGGAGTGTAGGGGAGAGAGGCAAGGAAAACGGGCCTGGGCCAGGGGGGCCAGGAAAGCTAGGGGATGTTCCAGAGTGAGAGTCCCCCTTCCGTTACTCTTTTCTCTTTTTTAAAAAGGATGTATTTAAGAACAAAACAGGATTGCAGGAGCTGTGAGGAGTACAGGGCCTTTTTACCTCTCTAGTCACTCAGGCAAATTTTCCCTCTACCAGCTTCTGCAACCTGTATTCCCCGGCCTGTGGGCTTGATTGACTTACTTGGCTGAGTCTGTATCTATCTTACCCATGAAATAGGGATGCTAGTAGTATCTATCTCTACAGAGTTCCAAATATTAAATAAGGCAATGCATGTAAAGTGCCTACGCACCTGGCTCAGAGGATGCGCTCAGTCCATTTTGGCTGTTACTGCTACATCTCACAAGACATCCCACTGGTGATTAGCATCATGCTAGTGCCTGCTCTTGGATGACACATTCAGCAGGGACTGGAGTGCCATCCTCCAGGATGTCTTCTGTGCATTAAACCAGGGGTGGCCAAATGCAGCTCCACTGCCTGTTCTTGTAACTAAAACTTTATTTGAACACAAACCCGTTCATTCATATTTGTATTGTCTACGGCTGCTTTTGCACTATGTTGATAAAGTGGTTATGACAGAAACCATTTTGGTTCATAAAGCCTAAAATATTTATTATCTGGCCCTATATGGAAAGTTTGCAGACTCCTGCATTAACCAAGAGTGCCTTTTCTCAACAGTTAGAATGCACAGGTCCACGTACCAAGAGACATTGGCCTCTCTCAATATCATTCCCACTAACCCGCTTGCAGAATTTGTGCTTCCTATCCCTGCTGCTTTAGGCTCTGCTGTATTGGAGCCCCTGAATCCTCAAGAGTGGGGGGAAATTTTCAACTGGGAATAGAGTAAGGGTTCTACTCAACCTGAAACTGTCTGCCTCTTAGTCACTGAGATCCACACACTGATGGGACAGCAGCCAAAGAAATCAGTTATCTCATTGCTGTCAGGAGAGGCTAGACTTCAAAATTCACAGAGGTAACTTGGGGTTTCCATGTCCTGAGTTTATAGTAAACGGCCAATCCCAACCGCAGCCTGGAAAACGACAAGGGACTTTGAGCCCTTAGCAAAGGGTGTGTGAATTATCACACCAAGGGAACAGCTTCCTATAGCTGAAGTACTGGCCACAGCGAGGGAGCTCTGGAAAGTCATGGAGAGGGGAGATGTGACATAATTATGGCCTTGTGACAAGCAGTGGCAATGGGACTAGCTAGTTCCACTAACCTTCCTGTGTCCTCTGTTTTCTGGAGAGTATAGCTGGCCTACCTCAAAAAGCCCAGAGTGGACTTAGTGTGGGCATGAGTGGGTCTGAGTGGGGCAAGGGTGGATGAAGTAGATGCTTTTGGTGCCCTGGGTCATATCTCCTCTGCACCTCTGACTTCGATGGCAGCTGTGGTCAAGCTCCATGTGAGCCCAGATCGTGTTGATAGCATCCCTCCTCAAGCAACAGAAATCCCTTCACTTTGCTGCTGGGAGGCCTTCTCCAAAGCTGAAAGAACCTGCTCGGCCTGAGGGCGG